ACTTGGATGGGGAATACACCAGCAAAATTTCAGCTTCAAAGCTTGCGTGGTTGGCGAGTTGAAATACCCGAACAGACGAACACACACACACACATTGATAGAGTTGCTGCAATATGCGTTTTTGCTGCCTGTTACAGCGCTCCAGCGCTGCACGGCAAAAACGCATGAAAACTGATAGCCACGCATGCTGGAGGTCCATGTCGTCCCATAATGAAACCCCTTCATCCCAGCCGGTTCTTCCCCCAACTTGCGAGGAGAGGTCAAAATACAGCCAATATAGGTCAAAAAACTACAAATTAGGGACCATTCTTGCTGTTAGCGATTTGCAACTTTAGCACAAAAGCGCATGGTCGCACCGACAAACCTAGTGCGCAGCAGCTCGCATACCCATGGCTGCTGAGTAGTTTTTGAAGTTAAAACAGTTCTGCAAATTTATTGAAGTGTGCGGAAAACCCCTACAATTTAGATTATGTTTGTCTTTAAGGCTGTGAAAGACGGCGGTCGAGTGGTTCTGGTGGCACTTGGCGCCGAGCGAGTGGAAATACCAGTTCTGGAAATGGTTGCCAAGGAAATTGACCTTTGTGGGGTCATCAAATATGCTGACACGTAAGCATTTCACTGTTCACCAGGAAAGGATTTTTAAGTTTTTATGCGTTTTGTACCTCAACAATCGCAAAAAACGCATAATGTCGAAATCCTGTATGTATGGTGTGCTTGTGTGTGTATATGTGTGTTCGGAGAGCATTTTACCGGAGTTTCAACTGGGAAACCAGAGAAATCAGGGAACCGCAGAAGCTTGTTCCTATGCACGAAGCGCAGCTATGATGTATCGTGCAAAAAGTACAGTGTCAATTAGCAGACTTACATAATTCGCCAACTTTTATTCAAGGATTATCAGCAAGTTATTTCTTAAGCTAAATTTTTAATTGTGTGTGTTAGCAGTAACTAAGCCATAATGTAAAACAGGGCGGCGAACTAAGCGGCAGCAACACGATTTCTTGAAATCACCTTTAAACATTTATCTTACGGATAAATGTTTA